CTCTGCTCTGGCTAAGTCTGGGGTTATTATGGTCTTCAGGGAGAGAAACTGTATACTGATTTGTCCATGGACAACCATGGGCGGGCTCAAGAAAAAACACCATGCATTACCCCTCTGATCAACAGAACTCGCAGAGGAGCCCATAGGCTACAGGACTTTCCTAGCCTGAAGGTGGGAATTCCCTGGGAACCTCCCCTCTTCCACCGAGAGTCTGTCTGCCTCCCACGACCATTCATGGTGCCTGGACTGTTTGTTCCAACTGGCACCTGTGGGACAGCACTGTGCTGCCCCCCTGCCACTGCCTCAGCATCCCTCCTATATTTGTCAGTACCCAAAATCCAGAGGGAGACAAAGTCACCGGGGCCTAAAGTTTCAGCACTTCCCCAAGCATGCACTCATCCAGCCAGGCTGCAATAGCATCCAAGCTCAGCCCCAACTTTGTTCCAAGATCAGAGTGGGCTCTCATAGTGAGGAGAGGCCTGGCAACAAGAACAGGCCCTTGTGAGCCAGTGAGGGGTAAGGAGACCTTCCCAGGTCCTCAGGAGTATAGAGAATCCTCGGTCTGCAGTCAGGCTTGGATGGCTGAAGCTGCACCTGGGAACTTCTCACCCAGACAACTCGAATGATGTGGGGCTCCCACTTATTCCCAGCTCCTGCAAGCTCTGTGGGATGTGCATCCTCACCCACACCTCTGATACTGGAGCAGTTGCTGGCAATGGCGAGAAGCCATCAGGGAGAAAAGGCACTTCTGAGCCTGCTGGGTAAAAGACCCTCCCAGGCTCCCAATAGCACAGAGACACCCAAATCTGGAGCTGCAGTGAAGCTCCTGCCTGCTCTGTGAAGTAGGAGGCCCATGGAGATAGGGTTACTGACTGCTTAATGGAGTGTATAGCCCTGGCTGCATCTCCCTGCTGCTGTGGCATCTTGGAAATCGTCACTCTAGATGGGCTGCTGCTGCCATCAAAAATAGTTCAATTACTATAGAAGCAAAAGAGACTCTACGTAGTCAAAATCTTCTTGAGCAAACAGAGCAATGCCAAAGGCATCACACACCTTGACTTAAACATACTTTATAAAGCTACAGTAACCAATGCTGCATGGTCCTGTAACAAAAACAGAGAGACAGACAAATGGAACAAAATAGAAAATCATAAAATAAACTAAACTATTTATGGTCAAATGATTTCAATTAAGGTACAATGAACATACAATGGGGAAAGAAGAGCCTCTTCAATAAATGGTACTGAGAAAACTGGATACACAGAGGCAGCATGATGAAATTACACCTTTTTCTCTCACCATATACAAAATTAAACAAAAAACGAAGATTTTTTAAACTTTTATTATAAGTTGAGGGGTGTATGTGCAGAATGTGCATGTTTTTTACATAGGTAAACATGTGTAATGGGGCTAGTTATACAGATTATTTTATTACCAAGAAGTTAAGCCTAGTATCCATTAGTTAGTTTTCCTGATCCTCTCCCTTCTCTTACCTTCCATGCCCCATTAGACTCGAGTGTGCTTTGTTCCCCTCTGTGTGTCCATATGCTCTCAATTTTTGGTGCCCAATTTTAGGTGAGAACATGCTGTGTTTGGTTTACTGTTCCTGCTTTAGTTTGCTAAGAATGTTTGCCTCCAGCTCTATCTGTGTCCCTGCAAAGTGCATGATCAAAGACAGAAAGACAGAAATACCATTCAATCCAGCAATCTTATTTTGGAGGATATACCCAAAGGAATATAACTCACTCAATTATAAAGGCACGAACGTGTATTTTCACTGCAGCATATTTCACAACATCAAAGACATGAAATCGACATAAATGCCCATCAATGATAAACTGGATAAAGAAAAGATGAAGTACAAACATACACCATAGAATACTATGCAGCCATAAAAAATGAATACTTAAACAGAATACATGAAACTCTAAAACTACTTCTAAAAAAGCATATGGAAGTAGCTCCATCCCACTGCTCATGGCAAGATTGTATGGGTATAATCCTGAAAACAAAAGCAATAAAAACAAAAGTAGACCAATAGAATGGCATTAAATGAAAATGCTTCTGCGAAGCAAAAAAAGGCAATTAACAACCCACAAAATGGAAGAAATATTTGCAAACCATACATCTGATAAGGGGCTAATACCCAAAATACATATGAAACTCAAAAAACTTAATAGCAAGAAAACAAATAATGCCATTAAGAAGTGGGCAAAGAACCTGAACAGATATTTTGTAAAAGGCATACAAATGGAAAATCAGTACATTAAAATAAAGAGAATTGCCAATCATTAGGGAATTGCAAATTACAACTAAAGTGAAATATCTCTTCACACCGTTACAATGGCTTTAATAAAATGATGAAACATAATGTTAGTCTTGGGAAGAATGCAGAGCACAGGGAACTTTTAAATGGGTCACATTAGCTTGGAGGGATTTGAGGTGAGACATCCAAAATACTAGTGTCTGATGAGTGCTGGAAGACAAGGAAATGAATCACTTAAGAGGAATGACTATGGGGAAGGGCTTGAAGAAATCATCCTCTCACATCCACGTGAACCATGAACATTAAACATGGAGAAATGAGGAGCGGCGGTAGATCAGTTTGGGATGCATCTTCAGGGGACGTTGAAACAACAGCAGCATTTGGTTTTCTCTACAACCCTTTCACCCTTTCCCCCCAAGCCCAGGAAGTTGTCAGGGGTGGTACTTTGTGATGTCAAAGCCATCCTAGGACTGCCATTGGCTGGGACACTGCCTGTATGATCAAACAAAGCTCAAGGGTGTGGCTTTGCCTTGTCACCAGGAGGGTATATATAGGGAAGGCAAGAGCTCTGGGACAACCTACTGGCAAGCTTCAATACAGTTGTGGAAGTATGTACCCTTGAAGAGCTTAGTATAGACATTCTACAAACATCCATAGACATGAAACAGCCAACTTCAAGCACCAAGATAAAGAGTATATCCAACAACAAAAAAAGTGACAAGGTAAGATTGTTAGGATTTGAAGGGAAGGTGAGGGTGAAAGACAGACACACAGAGAGGGGGCGGCTCAAACAGCAACACAGGTATGTTCCAGACACCTGTGGAAGTGCGGGACCACCTTAATGTCACAACGCACTGCTACTTACAGGCTATGGTACTTACAGGTATGGGTGGGAAAGGTTTGGGCGGTATGGCTTGCTACCAGGCAGGTTATTGATAAGGTGTTTTTATGATTCTGGCAGGATAATTAAGACGTTTTTATGATCAGGCTGTTTGTCTCTTTTCCTAGTGGGATGTCGTCGTGGTGTTTCTTAGAACTTTGCCCAGCAAGATGTGATAGGAGTGTTTCGTTAGTTGGTCAATCTTGCTAACCTCTATGATTGTAGAAGCCTTTTTTAAAATTGACTTTTCTACATAGACTCTCATGTAGTCTTTGACAGAAGGTAGTTGTCCTTCTCCTCTTCCAATCCAAATGCCTCCTTTTTTTCCCCCCCCCCACTGGACATAATTCCCAGTAGGAAGTTGAACAATGCCCACACTGTTGCACATGTTGGTCTTAGATTGTAGTATCCTACATATAAACACTGGGCATGTGACTGGATTTCAGAGAAAGCAGTTTGGGCATGAGACCTGGTTTGAGGTGGAGAGGAAGTTGGAATGCAGGGTGACAGCAAGGGGTTGGAGGAGCCAGAGCGGAAGGAGAAGGTGGAGAGAATGGTGGTGGGCGGGAGGCTGAGGAAGGGGTTTGTTGGTCAGGTTGAAATGCAGAGGAGGAAGTCTTGCCAGGAGGAGGGGGCATTTTTGGGGATTTCTCTTGGAGGAGGAAGATTTGAAAAGGTGAACAGGATTGGCAGAGAGAGAGAGAGAGAGAGAGAGAGAGAGAGAGAGAGCGCTGTGAATTGAGATAAGCAAAACACTTCAGATCATTTACCATTGCTGTGGAGAAAGTTTTTTAGATTATGTTGAATTTGGAAGTTGAATTGTTTTAGATTATGTTCAATTTGGAAGTTTTGTATTTTGGAAGAGGGAGTGAATACTCTGAAGGGGAATGGATACCCCTGAGGAAAGTGAGTGCCCTGGAAGGAAGTGAATACCCCAGAGGGGACCGAGTACTCCCGAGAGAAGTGAATACCCCAAAGGGAAGTGAGTACTGGATTCATCCTGGGAGAAGAGATCTGGAGAGCCAGGGCAGCCCCGGAGCTATTCACGGTTCCCCGGAGGCTGGGGCGGCCAGAGTGGCAAGTGGTCTTAGGGTGTCCCCTAAGAAGCCAGGCTGTGATTACCTGGTGACCGGGGAGACGTCTCACCCAGCACTGAAACTTTTTGGAGAACCAGCAGAAATAGAGAGGAATCCATAAAGGAGGAAGAGGGAGAGTCACCCACTAACTGAAGCCCAGTGCTGGATGTGATGTCCGGCAATGGAGGTGATCCTTGTTACAGCTGCCCGGAAAGGGGAAGGGAGGAAACATAGGGAGGAAAGGTTGATCAATATCTGTAGGTTAGTCCAGTGCTGGAGAAGATGAGAGAAATAGGGGGAACGGCACTGGGAACAGGGAGTCCACTCGGGATCTGGAAGTAGGCCCGGGTCTAGTTTGTGCTGCTTGCTGCTTTCCGGGTTGCACGAGAAAACTTACTCATTAGAACCCAATCACCGTTCTGAGTTTTGGCACCAAAATTTTAGGTTTTGAAAAGAAGGTGAGAGTGAAAGAAAAACACATAGAGAGGGGGCGGCTCAAACAGCAACACAGGTATATTGCAGACACCTGTGGGAGTCGGGGACCCGCTTAATGCCAGAGCCCACCACTGCTTACAGGCTGGGGTACTTACAGGTAGGGATGGGAGGGATCTGAGCAGTATGGCTTGCTGCCCAGCAGGATATTGATAAGATGTTCTTATGACCAGGTGGTTTGGCCCTTTTTCTGGTGGAATATCATTGTGGTGTTCCTTAGAGCTTTGCCAACCAAGATGTGATGGGGATGTTTCTTTAGTTGAGCCTTTGTCTGCCCTGTGCTCAGATGGTTAGGCAGGATGATTCTCACAGCCTGAACACCCATGGAATGTTTCACTTTGACCAAGGTCTGCAAAATCGCAAAGAGCTTACAAAATGGTGCAGTTTGAACTAACACAGATGACCCTAGCCATGCTCCTCTTCTTCTTCCCCATAGATCCCTACCCTATGATTCCACCTTGTTCTTCTCTGGCATAAACCCCTTTCTCAATCTGCGTCTCTTCTCATAAACCACCGCCCTGCCACCACTGCTATTCAGCCTCTACCCTATTCACCAAAAATAACGTTTTCCTGGCCTCTCCCTGTTTTCTTGCCAGACGCTGGAGACACTGAACAGAGCTTTAGCCTCTGAACAAAGTTTGAAGAAGACCAAAAAATCACAATATCCAACAATATTAGTGTTTTACTACAGGAACCATAAGAAAATAAATTCAAATCAAATAGAGAATGACCAGTCCCGAGACAACTCCATCAATCCAATCCAAGATGAGGAGGACAAAGACCTAGACCCATGTGAAGGAACTTCACAGAAGGACGAAGACCTAGACTCATGGGAAGGATATTCACAAGAGGATGAAGACCTAGATGACCCAGCTGAAGGATGTTCACAGGAGGCCGATGACATCGACTCATGTGAAGGATATTCACAAGAGGATGAAGACCTCAACTCATGTGAAGGATATTCACAGAAGGACGAAGACCTCGACCCATGGGAAGGATCTTCACAGAAGGAAGAAGACCTCGACTCATGTGAAGGATCTTCACAGAAGGAAGAAGACCTCGACCCATGGGAAGGATCTTCACAGAAGGACGAAGATCTTGACTCATGGGAAGGATCCTCACAGAAGGAAGAAGACCTCGACCCATGGGAAGGATCTTCACAGAAGGACGAAGATCTTGACTCATGGGAAGGATCTTCACAGAAGGACGAAGACCTCGACTCATGTGAAGGATCTTCACAGAAGGACGAAGACCTCAACTCATGTGAAGGATTTTCACACAAGGATGAAGACCTCGACCCATGGGAAGGATCTTCACAGAAGGACGAAGACCTCGACTCATGTGAAGGATCTTCACAGAAGGACGAAGACCTCGACCCATGGGAAGGATCTTCACAGAAGGACGAAGAGCTCGACTCATATGAAGGATCTTCACAGAAGGATGAAGACCTCGACCCATGGGAAGGATCTTCACAGGAGGGTGGGCAGGATTAGTCCACACGTGGAGAAACCAAATTGGACAAGGAATAATAACAATAAAATAAATTTTGAGGAGCTGATGACTGAGTATCTCTCTGCCTGTTTTCTGATGGTGAGGAAGAAGTGAAGGGGAGAGGTAGGCATTCGAGAAGAGAGGGATATGAGGTCCTGTAGGGTTGATGGGCAGACCCACAGGTGAAGCAGACATTCTAAATAAGGACTTGGGGAAGGACTGATTCCTGGAGACAAATTTTTTCTTAAAATTTTATCCCACGGAGACAAAGAAGAGGCTTTGGTGTTTCTTGGAACATGTACATATTTAGAAGGGCACATAAAAAGAGCTTCATTGTATGTAGGTGACCGTGACACTCTTTCCAAAATGAAGACATCGAAATCATCACCTCCAGGGCATATACCTCATGGTAGTGTGTTTTCTAAGTCACCCAATTCTTTGAGCAACTGAACACCCTCAAAAAGACCAAGAACCTCACCCTACAGAAAGTAAAACAGCACACCACACACACTAAAATGATGGTGTTTGCAGGACATGGTCCCAATACTAGGGCACTTCTTTGTTAAGAAACTCTAGGTGGAGCGGGAGCCTACCCAATGTGGGACACTGGGAGTGGCCATTGTCTACTGCAGGCAATAAACAAAAGCATAGTCTACAGAGAATTTGAACACAATCATACAAGTAAAAGTTGTTATTTTTATTAAAACTTCCATACACCAGTATTTCCATAGAATGCCAGTGATTAAGGATTGCATGTTCTTCACATGTACCACAAAACCTAAAATGCAATTTAAAAAAAAAAAGAAAAAAAAAAGGAATTCTTCAATGGAAAAAAATACTGTTTTTATTGGAGGGAATACAGTAGAGTGGTTTCGGCATCAAGTGTAGAGGGCTGAGGTACATTCCTTGGGTTAATTGCTCAAGACTCGCTCCTGTTTATTTACTCATCCACTCTCCTTTACTTCCATGACCCAGCTTTATTTCTCTTGTCTACATTGGCAATCGCTGTAATGTGTTAATGTGCATCATTTTCTATGTATGAGTGTTAATACATGTTTCATATGGTTTGTGGACATTTGTTTTCAATTTATGCATCCATTGTCAATACTTAATCTTTCACTGAGCCCTGTTTTTAAGATGCATCTATGTATGTCTAATCTGTTTTTCCTTTGAAAATGGGTACAATTTTGTATTGTGTAGATTTTTGAAAGACATTTTGATATTTAATATTTGCACTTACTTTGTGGTCCATGTTTTAATTTATACCTTAGTATTACATTTTCTTTCAAGTGACTGCTTATAGTATCACGTGTTTAATTTTGACATCCACATGTTCAATGTTAGTACATAGAAGTGTGATAGATTTTTTTATTTCTATTTTTTATTGCTATTTTGAAGAAATTTTTTTGTCTATATTTGAGGTTTAAAACATGATATTATGGGATAGATAAACTAAAATGGTTACTATGGTAAAGCAGATTAGCGTATCTCCTTAGTTTCTAAGTGTGTGCCAAGAGCAGGTAAATATACTGATTTAATAAAATTCATGACAAAATTTCATCAGTTTTAGTCCCGCTGTGCATATAGATATCTACACATGTTCATCCTACATATCTGCTATTTTGTATCCTTTGAGCGACATCTCCCCATTTCTTCTCCCAACCCCAATGCTTTATTCTCTACCTTGTCTATTTTAGCCCGCTATTTATATAGTCCACATATAAGATCATCAAAATAATTTTTTTTTCTGTCTGGATTATTTACCTTAGTGTGATGTCCTCCAGGTTTATCCATATTGTGCCAAATGCCAAGATCTTTTTTTAAGGCTTGGTAACATTTAGCTCTGTAGAGCTATAACACACACACACACACACACACACACACACACACACATCACATGTTAAAATCTATTCAACCATTGAAGGGCATTTAAGTTGTTTCAATATCGTGGCTATTGGGAATGAGCATGAGCATTAGCATGCAGACATTTTTATGAGTCTGTGATTTTTATCTATTTCGAGTTTATACCCCAAAGAAATATTAGTGGATCATATGGCAGTTAAATTTTCATTTCTTTAGAAACCTCCATACTGTTTTATGTAATGGTTATACCAATCTACATTTCCAACAACAGTGTACTAGGGTTCTTTTTCCTTCAAACTTTTGGCAAGTATGAAGTAATATAGTGGTTTTAATAGGCATTTATCTTATGACTAATGATGTTGAACATCTTTTAATGTATCTGTAAGCATGCCATTGGAAGAGATCATATGGAGAGATACCACACTGTTTCTTTTTTTGAGTTTCCTCCAATGATAAATTCTTGCAACACTATAGTATAACATCACAACCGATAAACTGGCATTAATACAATCCATCTATTCAGATTTCACCAATTTTACATGTGCTCATTTATGTGTGTCTGTGTGTGTGTTTAGTTACATTCAATTTTATCATATGACTACATTCAAGGGACAACCACCATAATAATAATACAGAAGAGTTTCATCAACACAAGGATCTCGCACTTTTCCTGTGATAGCCACACCCAACTGTCCTCTCAAATTCATCATCCCTAGTGACCACTATTCTCAGCCTATATAATTTTGTTATTTTGAGAGTGTTATATAAATGGGATGATTTGAACTGGAGACAGATGATTTAGGATATCTGGTGGGGGAAATTTCTAAGCAGCAAAGCATTCAAGATGTAACCTGGATTTTTCTGAAAGCATTCAGTTATATGCATTCACTAAGAGATGGTTTGCTATTGGAACATACATTTGATAGGGAAGCAGAGCATAAAAGTTTGAAAAATTTGCAGCCTGATGATGTGATAAAGACAAAGCATCATTTTTGGTGGAGAAATTTAGCAGACTGCAGAAATGTGCATAAATAATGAGAAGCCAAATGTTAATTATGAAGATAATGGGGAAAATGTCTTTGGGGCATGTCTGAGATCTTGGCTGCAGCACCTCCCATCACAGGCAAGGAAGCCTAGGAGAAAAAAATACTTTCACTGGGCCCAGGGCCCCTGCTGCTCTCTGTAGCGTCTGGACATGGCAACCTGCATTCCAGTTGCTTCAGCAACAGTTGTGGCTAAAAGGGTGGCTTCCACATGGTTGGTGTTGGGCTTGTGGTGCACAAAAGTCAAGAGTTGAGGTTTGGGAACATGGATTTTAGAGGATGTATCAAAGTACCTGGATGTCCAGGCAGAAGTCTGCTGCATTCTTTATAAAATTATAAAATTTCTGAGGCTTTGCCAGCCATGCAGAACTGTGAGTCAATAAAATCTCCGTTGTTCATAAATTACCCAGGCTATAGTAGTATCTTTATGGGGGTGATAAAATGTACTAATACAAATATGTAACTGAGAACCTAGTTCAGATCAGTTGTGTACACTGGGAAAACAAAAATCTACACACGGGATAAATAAAAACTAGAATTAGATCTTTTTCCTGGATGTATAGCTCTATTTTTATCATTTGGATTACCCTTATGCAGTCTCAACTTACCTAAGTATGCTAGGCATTTCTAACAAGAATATCATGTATATCTGCTTACAAAAGAGATAACTTAAGCATTGATATCCATGATTAAAATTGTAATTAAATTAATTATGAAACACATGAGAGGGAATCTAAATGTAGCTATTTCTGGATTAAACAGGCAATGCATATACTTTAGAAACATAACCATGTTCTTTGATCTGTATCTTAGAGTCAGTAAAATATATTAATACTGATACCTTAACAATAATGCATTATTTTGTGTAGTCATATAAAAATAGATGACTGCCAACTGGGAACACACTATCACAAATAGGAAAATCTCTCACCTGGCTTTCTAGTATATTCATAATTACCCTCCATTTTCTTTCTTGATCTTTCTAGAAGGTTCTTTTCACTACTCCAGTAAAGAGTTTTAAGACTTTCATGGAGTAATGACTTCTCCTACACCCCATTCCTTTGACTTCCAGCTTACCCAAACATAGCTTACAAAAACACTATAGGAGTGAGAAGAAGCGAAGAATGTTGCAGTTAATGGCATGCACTTTGTTATCAGTGACTATTTTTGTGATTTGGGGCAAGTAATATAGCCCCCTATATGCTTCACTTTCCCTACCTCATAGAGTTAACAGGTATTATGTAGAATCTTTAAAAATCAACAAATAAGTCTTTCTAGGCTTGGCACCGACATTACCACCTCCAAGAATCTTTCCATAATTTTGTTCTCACAAAACCAGGTTACCTGTCCCTTCCCTTTAAAATCCTCCTCCATGTGCTCTGGCTTCTCATTATATTCATCACACTATAATGTCATTTTCAGTTGTTAGGATTTCCTCATTGAAGTGATCTGCAGTGAAGATGTTCTATAGCTAATAAATTCAAGTTTCCTTTTGGCAGGAACTTTATCTTTTTTCCATCTATCAGATCCCCAGTGTCTAGGATAGTATCAAGTGCAGAAACAGGTAACTAAGAAAATTGTTGAATGAATTGTCTAAATTTTTCATCTGTTAAGATTTTTACTCCTTTTTATGGCCACCGATTATAGTACTTCACTTTGTAGATACACAATGATAATAACATTAATAATAATAACAATAATTAATATACTGGTCACGAACTGCCTTAGTCTGTTTGGTGGTGATACAACTGAATATCTATGATGGAGTAATTTATAAGGACAAGAATATTTATCCCACAGTTCTGGAAGCTAGGAAGTTAAAGGTCAATTTATCAGGATCTTTTGAAGGTCTTGCTCTATCCTCCCATGGTGAAAGTGAAATTTCCTGTATTTGCTGATGACATAATCTTACATTAAAAAAAACCCTGAAAGTCCTTAGAAGAAATCTACTAGAATTCGTAAATGAATTGAGTAATGTTTCAGAATACAAAATCAACATTAAAAATTAGTAACATTTCTATGTATTAGTAACAAATAATCTCAAATATATTATAAAATAATATGATTTAGAATAATAACAAAAAAATTAAATAGGT